TCTATTTATGATTGTTTATATATTCATGGATTGGTTCATACTTTTAACATCCAATGTCAGTGATTTAGAGACTGTTGTTGGTGTAACACTAGATGAATCTCTACATTCGATGGTTGTGTCATTAAGAGAACTGGTAACAGGGTTAGTTGTTGTATTAGCAAATGACAAAAGGACACCATTATTACTAGAAACAAGCTCCGTATTGTACGGACCAAGAATTTGTGAATTATTTATAGAAGCCGTGTAGCCTGCAACAGAGCTTCCATTGTATGTCCATATTAACTCGTCTCCAGTAACGTTACACTGAAACAATGCATAGCTTCCAATACAAATCTCCTGGCTAACAAATGTCAAATCAACTATACAATAGAAATATTCGAAGCAATTAGTGATTTTTTTACTTATCTACCTGAGGCTGAAGTAAAAGCTAACAACACGATATCGATCACAAAAAGAGCCGTAAAAGACATAGCAATTGCTGTATCACTGGCTGGTACAGGTATAATATCACGTGACTACATCGGGGCCGGGCCCGGGATTTTTCCTTTATTAACCAGCAACCTAGCATTAGCAACTGAAACATGATGAAAGCGATGTTACTATTGCTAACACTAAGTGTATTTTTTGCTAAATCTTCTTGTAAGTTATCATTGCCCAGTAAATATTAATTATGTCCGTATATATAGCATATGAGCAGTCACCTTCTACTGTGTGTCCTGGAGATGAATTAGTGTTTACTTGTGCAACTGTTAATGGTGGAACTGTTAGATGGAGATTGAATGGGAATGATGGACAATTTGTCCTATTAGCTGGTAGTTCACCTCCAACAACACTTGGTAGTTTTTCACTAAAAGTAACAAAGTACAATGCGCCAAACACAATAGTTACTACAGCAACTAATAATTCTGCTCCAGTATCATTAAATGGAACTAGTATTGATTGTGCTGAAGGATTAACAGGACAATATAAAAGAAAGTTTATTAATTATCCAGGTATATTAATAAATGAATACTTTCATTTTGTTCTTGTGAAAGCAGGGCCACCTCCAGCAGTAAGTAACATTAATATCGAAGCTATTGATAATGATTCATTATTCATCAATTGGACATCTTCAGGATTATGTATAGACCATCATACTGTTACTAAAATTAGTAACAATACTGATGAAACAATCTTTAATACTGAAAACACTAATATAACGATTGATACACTCATTATTGGTACTAATTATTCATTTATTATTATTCCTATTGATACTATTGGAAGAGAAGGACCTCCTTCATCATTAATACAGTATATATGGAATGGTAAGTACTATACACACACACACACTCATTGTATTTCTTATAGTACCAGCTCAAGTTGTTAATATTAGTTGGTATCAGATATCAACTGATACTATTACATTATGGTGGAATAACACTGAGGCATGTTAACCATTATGATACGTATTATTAATTATATATAAATAGGATAATTTATCATTTTATCCTCCAGTACTGTATTATGTTATAAGTGTACTGAATGATAATAATATTACATATAGCAATAGTATTAATATTCATTGCAATCATCCAGTGGATCCATGTTATGTTACTATCATTCCTGTTAATATTGTTGGATATGGACCATCATCTACTGTTAATGGTATGATTATAATAATTATTAAGTATAATTAATTAATTAAGTCATTCATAGTCGGAATAATTCCTACAATGACCAGTAGTTCAGTTGTACCTACATCATCAGGTCTGTAATAGTTATACATTATTCATTGATACATATTAATTATCATTAGTTACATTAGCTACTAATATAAGTACTAGTACACCATCAATGCATGTACCACCTACTTTAAGTAAGTATAACTATTATCTACCATTAATTAATTGTTGCAATAATAGTTACAGTGTCTTCAACAATTGATGAACAATCATCATCTTATATTTCAACTACTGGCACATCAACTGGTACTACTATTACTATGAATATACCAGTTTCATCATCAACAACTGTATCAACTACTGCTACTGGTTCTAATGCTGTTCTTGTTATATCAGGAGCTATTGGAACAGTATTTGTTATAATAATAATAATTATTATTATATTGGTAATAATAGTGGTGTATGCTAAAAGACACAGTAAGTATTATAACATGATTCATTAATAGTTAACCCTCTCCTATTATAGGAATCAAGAACAAAGAAAGGTTTAGTGAAATTATATTAATAATGATTATTAGTGTTTGCTTTTTATTATAGCAGACTTACAGCATGTGGTCATAAAAATGAGGTAATACAAATGCACATTATTATAAAGTAACCTATTGATAATATCCTCCACAGTCTAAAGGAGTTACTGGTGGCTCATACAGAAATAATAATATTGAAGTAAATTAATAATAATGATCCTTGTTTATTAATGAGTGAAGGATAGAACTCATCCTTCTTCCGGTTCTCATCCTCCAGTATATAACTAACCTACTGTAGCCTGGGACTGACCCCATCATTCATTATATAACTACTGTAGACTGACCCCATCATTTATTATATAACTACTGTAGACTGATCCCAGTCATTCATTATATAACTACTGTAGACTGACCCCAGTCATTATTATGCTGTTGTGTTTCATTCATTAGTTACAACCTACTGATCCTACTTATGCTACTCCTACCACTGAATATACTCCAGCAGCTGCTTCTACTGTAAGGACACTACAAGGAGGAGATGGACCACCTTCCTATCCACCACCACCTCCTACTGGTAAGCACCTTTTAATGTACTTTTATGTATTCTGGGTCATTTTGAAATGGCCATAACTCAAAAAGTTTTAGTTGAAATCAGCTCAAACTTTCTACATAGCATAAGTACATGTATCAGGAAATGTAGTAAAATGTAGAAGTGATTTTAGAACCAAGTTTTAGACAAAAAGCATGTATACTGAAAAGTAAATGTTAAAATAGTTTTAGTGTATCAAGTACATCAACAGTTTATTTCTATTGTATTACAGGTTACTTAAGTAAAGTGTTGCATACACTACACAATGACATTAGTACACACATCACTTTAATACAATAAATAAATCAATCCACATACACCATATACCCAGCACATACTTAGCAAGAATAACATTTACCTTCCTATACCTGTCATAACATCAACCATATGTGTATACATGTAACACACAATAAGCTGACAACAGCCTACACAGGGTAATCATATGTTTTACTGTAAGATACAATCAACTAGCACATGATAGACAAGAGGACATGATAGGCAATGTGCTTAAGTACAGGTTCTATAGTGATCAGTATTAAGTATATATTCCCTACTAGTAATTGTATATATATATATATATGTAATATTTATAACACACCGGCGAGTGCTATATGGCTTTTATAAGGACCG